ACCTTCGCCTTTTCTGAAATCTGATGAGAACCCGGGTGGTGCTCCCATGTAAACCTCATCTTTTAGTTCTCCATGGAGAAAAGCATTCTTCACATCAAACTTATATAAGGGCCATTCTAGATTAGATGCTACGGAGAATAATAGACGGATAGTATTAATTTTGGCTACTAGTGAGCGAGTCTCAAAGTAGTCAATACCATATGTAACACCCTCCGTCCCGCCAACCCGGTTCACTGCGGCCCAACTAGCCGGAGAGGTTACGTACACGGTTTAAGGCCGTCTACAAGTGCGGTGCTTGTAACGGAAAACCCCTTGAGATATTTTATTAAATGATGAAAATAAATTCAATTTAAGAGAGTGTTTTTAGCGGAAGTAAATGTAAATAAAACCGTTAAGTCATTAATAACAAAAGTGAAACAACAGCAGGTTCAAGCCCAAAATAAGTTTTAATACTAATGTGTTGGGAAAATTATAGATTTTGATGATGATGTATTTAGAATGTATTAGGGACTTTAGGTCTCCCCCAATATTCAATGTAATTTTTCTTTTTAGAAATATTGTCAAAACCGAGTTCTTGAGATTTCCAATAAAATTGTGATTATCCTTTAAGCGTTTTGATGCCTGAAGACTTAATCAAATTCAGTGATATGGAAATTGGATATCTTGATCGGAAATGTCAGAGACAAGTAAGGATTTTTCAATCAGATGAAAATCCTCAGATCCGGAAGACTACATAAGAACCGGATGTCTCGCTACAACCCGCTGAAGGCTAAGTCATCCAAATCGGAAGACTAGCGCGGATCACTTTCTCACCCGGAAGCCTGAAAAATGACTCCTCCGGATTTGTCAGCTAAGAATCGGAAGACTCATTGGAGACCGGAATTCTCAAAAAGCGGACAAGTGGGAAAAAGACTTGGAAAATTATCTAAGTCCTGAATGAAGAAATTCTACCCGTTGGTAAGGAAAAATCAATCTCTTGATTTTCAACGGCTAGATTGAAGATAATCATGCTGATTCAAGAACAAATTACTCAAAGACAAAGTCTGGCCCTCTAATTTGAAGAGCCTGCCCAGAATTCCTAAACAAGCACTAGAGGACAAACAGAGTAAAGTGCTACAGTTCAGAATTCTTGAACAACAGCTAGAAGACGGAATATGTGATTAGTAGAATCACTTCTCAAACAATTGGGTACGTCCAAACGCCCACTTCAACAAAGAATCTTCAAATCACAATCTTCATTCAAAATTGAAGCCAGCAAATGCAACGGATAGTCTATTTTGACTCAACGGATAGATTATCTAATCCAGCTATAAATAGCATCCTTGGAAGACTGGAGGAACAACAACGATACAACATACAACAACAAGCTATCTCATTCACAGTTAGCCCAAAAGCTTGATAAAGAGAGATTTTTAAACTCCTTATCCAGAAGCAAACTCCTCCTCCTTTCAAAGAGCTATAGTGTAAACACTTGAAGGTTTCCTTGCCTCAAGTACCACACCACGTTGAAGGATACAACTTTTTAATCAAACTTCTTGATTAAAAAGGGGGTTGGTCAACTTTCTTACAAGTTGATCTTGCAAGTCCTATTGTTCGGATCTTGCAGTTGTTGAAGAAGCGTGACCTTCGAAGGAACAACAAAGCCAGCACGAGTGCAGTAGCAACTTTGGTCTTGCGAAGATATACCGTGCAGAAATTCACACAAGTGTAATTGTTGGTTCATTATTCAACAACCAACTACATAGTGGATTTTGAGGACGTAGAAGGATTACCCCACCTTCGAACCTCGTTAAAGTTTGCGTGTCTCTCTCTTTTATCTTTACTCTTACTAGCAATTATATTAACTGTGAAAACTAACCCATCCATATTGATTACTGCTCACTCTACCCACCAAATTCCGCACACAATCTAAAGTTCACAAGAACTCTAGATTTACACTCATTTTTCACGTTTTCAAAAGA